GTGGGAGGTGTTGGGTGGCCCCAGCACCCATGGGTGCCACCTCCCACCCTGTCTGAGCCCAGGGACACGCAGCCCCCGGGTCGAGCACCCTGCTCTGGCAGAGGTGCCCCTGCCCTTGGCTGGGCATCACAGCTGGGTGCTCTTCAGGGTCCCCTCTGACCCAAACCTCTCCATGATTCCACAACCACAGCTCCCAGGCTGCAAGCAGAGCAGCACTGCTGGGGAAAGCAGCTGCTTCTGGCAAGGAAAAAAAGGGATTTAAAGACAGAAAGGGAAACCAAGCAGCAGCACAGCTCAGTCTGTGGGCAAACAGTCTGCTCCCCAGAGCCAGCCACGGGCAACGTGCCCCACGGCGCTGCTGCCGCCCCCATGGCACTGCCCACGGGGGTGCCAGAGCTGCCACAGCTCGGCTGGGGTTGGGTTGGGATGGGTTTTTTTTTTTGTGACAAGAATATACAGCTTGTTTTTTAAGTTGTCAGCTCTCTTGGAAGAAGCATTGCTGCCAATGAGAGCATCAGGATCCACTCTTGTGCAGGAAGGGGCCAGAGGTCCGAGAGCTTTCCACACGCTGGAGATTCCTGCAGGGAAGTGGTGTGAGTTCTGGTCTCTGCTGAGGGAAAATGAGGCTGAGAAAAAATTGCTTTGTCAACTAGATCTCACCATCCAGCTTCTACAAGTCATGTAAGAATGAAACTCTCCTGGTTCTATGCCACAAGAACAAGTAGTCATAGCCAGAAAATGTCTGTGAGAGAAGGAGGGTGGTTACCTGTTGCTGGTTCCTATCACCGTGGCCTGACTGGGGTGACAAAATCCTACATTCAGGATTCTGTATTTATTTCTTTTTCAAATCAAGCACGTTCAGCTTGTCACAGCCACCTTCTCCACGTCAAGCTGGGTCCTCATTTCAAGCTCTCTGCCCAGGGGGATGCAGGCACTTGTTGAGCTGATGGCTGTGGATGATGTGTGAGTGCAGCCCAGAAGCCAACGGGAGGGACTTTTTAGGAGGGTCTGTAGTGACAGGACGAGGGGTAATGGCTCCAAGGAGGGGAGATTTGGATGAGATGTAAGGAAGAAGTTCTTCACTGTTCTTCACCACTGTGAGGGTGGTGAGATCCTGGCCCAGGTTGCCCAGGGAAGCTGTGGATGCTCCACCACTGGAGGTGTTCAAGACCAGGTTGGATGGGGCTTTGAGCAACATGGTCTGTAACTAGGTGAGCAACCTGGTCATGGCAGGGAGGCTGTAACTAGAGGATCATCAAGGTCCCTCCCAAGCCAAACTATCCTGTGATTCTACCCTTCTACAGGAAAACAAGCAGACACCACGGGCTGAGGTGATGATGTAAACCAAAGAAAGGGAAAGGATGCTTCACTGAACACAGGCTACTCCTGTCAGTCTGCTGTGGAAGGTGGAGGGGTGAGGGAAACTGTTGGTGCTCCTCCTGGCAGCGCGTGCCCATGGCTCTGCAGCCACACTCTCCAGCTTGCCCGGGGACAGAGGGTTCATCCGAATCACCACGGTGATGGTGGAGCTGTAGAAACCACCTTAGAAATGGGCCTCAACCCTCCACAGCCTGGCGGATTACAGAGAGAGGGAGAATAGACAACTCCAGAGATGTAGAAGAATGGGAAGAAATTGCTTACAGGAGTACAAAGGCATCTCATTAGAATGAAACAGAAGATAATAAGATAGGGAGAAATTCTGGCAGAGTGTATGAGAGAATAATTCCTGACAGCAAATCTATTAAGCAGAGGTAGAACCTCTCAAGGGGGGTTGGGTAGCAGGAGACCAGTTGGTTGGAATATACAAAAGCAGACTATACAAAACATTAGAAACTGTACAACTATAAAGGAAAATGGAGCTACCTCTAGTCTAAGAGTTCTTTCTCCTCTATAAATTTATAAGGTGAGCTTTAATGAGGAGAGGAGAGTCACAGGCATGATTATAATCCCTCACAGCTCCTCTGGTCCTTAGTGCTGTCACTGCTGCTTTCTTACACAGCCACCTAGCTTTGGAATCATGTCTGCGATTCAGAATGAATTTGAAGCCAGTTTGGAAAGTGCTGCCCACATGGAGGAGGATCAAGACGAGGCCAGTGAGCTGCACTTGGAAAGGAGAAGCCTCGTTCTGCAGTTCCTGCACTCCACCCTGAGCCTCCAGCACCTCCAGCACCTGCGGGACAAACTGGAGCTTCTGAAGAAGAGCTCCTTTTACTTGGAGATTGAGCCCAAACAAGTGGTCGTGAGAGACCAGAACCAGGAGACGTACCACACGGACATCTTCCAACTGATAAACCCCATCCAGCTCCTGAAGATGAAGAAGGTAGGGAAAAGCCAGACTCAAATCCAGCTGTCTCTTCTAGCTGAGCTGCTAGAGGAGCTGCAGCGAGGCCGGGAGGAGCTGAGCTCTTACGCAGAGACCCGCGACACGCCGACTTTCCTCTCCCAGTGGGACTTAATCATGCAGAGGATGTCCCAGCTCTCCGAATTTCTGGAAGAACTCCTTTCCCTGCAAACTCCAGGGCAGCTGCACATGAAGCATCCGCTGCTGCTGCCCTTTGAGGCGCAGCGTTGGGGCGCTGCCCTCCCTGCCATCGGGCTCTCCCTCTCCACAAAGCCGCCGCTGCTTTTCGACCGAGAGAAATCCTTTGCAGGCCAGGACTGGGCCAAACTCCAGTGGTCTGCAGACAAGCGAGAGCCCCTCGCCGAGCAGTACGAGCTGCACGTGACCCTGCTGACAAGCGGGGGGCCGGGGGAGCCGGGGTACAGGCGGCTGCAGCTCGTCCCCTCCAGCACGTGCCTGGTGCGGGGGCTGCAGCCTGGCAGGGGCTACGAGTTCACCGTGAGGAGGTCGGACGCTGGCACCCTCGTCTTTCAGAGCTGGC